CTGTTAAGCAGAGCAGGTGGCCCAGAGCCTGTGCACGGGGCTTCTGTCCTCCCTATCCTGACCTCTGGGCTCCAGGAACATGGTTTAAAAATCATGGACCTAATGAGATGTGCTCAGGTTCCCAAATGTGGAAACTGGGATCCTCTCCTGATCTGACCTGCCTCTGCTATCCCAGCCCGTTCAACCTACACTCTGACAACTGTGCCTTTGCACGTGCTGTGGTTCAGGCTGCTGGTGAGCCAGGGCATTAGAGGAGGGAGACATTACCCTGGCCTGGGTCATTGGCCTTCTGGAAGAAGGCAGGATCAGACTGCAGCCTAAGTAAGCCTCTGGAGGACTGGGGTTTGTGGCCACGGTAAAAATGATCATAAGAGTGGGACAGATGCCCTCAGATCCTTTGCACACCATCACCTCCAGTTTACGAATTCCAGGCCTTGGGTACAGGTAGGTGAAGTGGGGTTACCTGACTCTTCATTCTGGTTCAGTATGCCAGCCCCCTCTCCAGCCCCTTAACTCTTGACATTGCTTCAACAAGAGACAGATTGAGGTCTTCTTTAGTGAGAGGAGAGGAGCTTAGTCATTGGCTCCATTTAGGGGTCAGGAGGAGTCTTCCTAAGGGCAGGTTGGGAGAGGAGAAGGAAATCAGAGAGTCTATCCTGGGGGGAGGCGGCGGGGGGAGGGATAGACGATGGGTCACAGTTGCTGCAGACATTTTCATTGATTTCACTTGAACACTCACACTGTGTTAGGCCATAAGCCAGGCCCTGTGCTGTAGCTGTGAGTGAGGCAGACGCGGCTCCTGGCCCCACCACAGCTACCTCCTAGATGTGCATGAGCTAGCTGCGAGAGTGCAGTCAGCTACTGACAGCCATTTGGGCATGCCTCTATTTGTCATCAACCCTTAAAATGTGGAGCCCAAAATGGGCTATACTCCCTTTCCTTATAAACACTGAGTACTCCCAACTTTGCCCTTCTATGCTTTCTTCTCATTGCCAGCAACACGCTTTGTCTGTTACAGCTTGTGTTTAGTAAAAACAGTTAGTGGGACGCCTGGGTGGCTCTGTCCATCCGACTCTTGATTTCTGCCCAGGTCTTGATCTTGGGGCCCTGGGATTGAGCCCTGTGTCAGGCTCCCTGCTCAGCGGGGAGTCTGCTTGAGGATTCGCTCTCCTTCTCCCACTCCCCCTGCTCACCTTCTCCCTCTCTCAAATAAATAAATAAATCTTTAAAAAAAAAACAGTGACCAACTTTCCTGTTAGCATTATCTTAATCTCCTCTGATAACTGCCGATTCCTGAGCCAAGAAATTTAATTAAATGGATGATTTCAGGTTAGTCACCTAGGAGAGTAGGAGACCAAATTATACTGGGTTCCTCAATCCAAATTCAATACTTCCCGAGGGTAACTTACATACAAGTGATATCAACAACAAAATGAAGATATACACCAAATGATCTTGTGAAAGCTGTAGCCCTATAGTATATCCCCTCTGCCTTGGTGTGATGATTAAAAATGTCCCATGTTTCCTTCTGTTATTCTCCATCTTGGTTCTTAATACACTTATAATGACTGGCAATTTACACAATGTGCCTGTTTATAAAGTTTTTTTCTTTCTGCTCCACTAGAATATATGAATTATAAGGAATATAGGACATTAAGTTAATTAAATCCATTAAAGTAGAGCTGTATTTGGTTTCTTCATTATTGTTTCCCCTGGCTTAGCACAGAGGAGGCATTCAATAAACATTTGTTCAGTGGGTGACTAACATGCAAGGCACTCTCCATAAACATATTTAGTTAAGGGGAACACCGTTGATGATTTTACCATCATCAAAAAACATTTAAGTATCTTCGACTTGGCCGTTTTTAGGGTGTTGTGAAGAGAGAGATAGCATTCTAACAAAAATCCGAAAAGAAACCTGGGGTTGTTTGTTGAAGGGAGTTTCTATGTCGTGTGATTTTCACTTTCTCAACCGATTTCCAGATTTTAAGGTGAGCAACAGAGTGCCTCTGAAGTTCTTTGAACTGTAGGCATCAGAGGTGTCCCTAGGGTTTTTCCAATTATTTGTGGGACTGGCCACTTTGAAACCGAGATGGGAATTTCAATTTATGATAAAAGTGCCAATGACACTCATGGGAATAGTGATGTGGTTGAGGCAAAGAGCTCGGCTGATGGACCCTTTGATCCCTTTGACAAGCTCCCAAGATGCCAATAACAAGCAAGGCAAACATCTTTGGAATAAATACTAGTCAATCTACTTCTCTTTGCTATCTCTGGTCACCTGTGTGCGCTGCTCTAAGAGATTGGTTTTATCCGTGTTAAATTCCTTCTTTTGTGGACTCTGGCAACAAAGATTCTCCTAAAGGTGGATACCCCAGGCCTTCAAGGCCTTTTTCTGGGCTACAGAATTACTGCTCTTCCTTTACACATACTTGTGTGAGATTGGGTTTCTCGGGCCTTTGGCCGGTGCAGAGCAAGAATAACTCAATGTTTGAGCTCAACAGCAGTCAACATCAGGCTGAGAACGGACGTGGCCTGGAGGTCTTCAGCTCGCTCTGTCCTGAGGACTCGGCCTGATAGAGAAAAATAGTGGGGAGAGTTTTTGCTAAGGAATCAGAACTGTGAGGAAAGTCCCTCCTATCCTTGGGTCTCATTTTTCCCATCTGCGAAGTGGGAGAATTACCTCAGAGGAATCCTTCACAGCAAGCCCTGGTGCTAGAGAAGGGGTAAACTCTCCCACCTGTCTGGGGGCTGCTCTCCCCACCTGGGCCAGGAACCCCAATAATGGATGCTGGAAGATTCCACCAGATGCCTCGTCTTTTTGGACTCCAGACTTTTTTTTTTTTTTTTTTTAAGAGAAAGCAATGTGAAAAACCTCCTCTGATGAATTTCTTTCAGAGCTCAAGCCAGATGGATTCCCAGCACAAGCCAAGACTTGGAAACAAGAATGTGGGGTGGGGAGTAAGAGGCGAAGAACTGGGGCTACACCTTGTACTCCCTCAAAAAAATGCCGAAGCTGGTGGCTGGGCAGGGCTGTGAATGTGGTGTTGGTATTCGCCCATCTCTTCTGACCTTCTTATCTTACAAAAGGGAAAATGGGGTCCAGAGAGGGGGACGAGCTTGCACAGTAAGTCACAGGTCTTCCTCCATGTTCTGGTGTTCTTTGGTCCCAAGATGTCTCAATAATACCCGTCCTTTCTTGTTTCTGCATTCATTTCTCCTTGGTGTCTCTCCATAAGACTGAATTTCCCAAAGGCCTGGGAGCAGGGCATATTCATCTGTGTAGCCCCCTTTTGCCCAGCCTACATGCTATACACAATCGGGGCCTAGTAAATATCTATTATGAGGGATTGATTTGCCATCTTAAGAGGATCCAGGGACAGTAGGAAAATGTCAGTCTTACCTTTCACACATGTAGGTTCCCAAAATGTATTTTAACAAATACATTTTTAGCTTATACGAGGACCCCATTTGCTCATTTTATTTTATCATTATTTTTTAAAGTAGGTTCTACACACCACAACATGGGGATTGAACTCACAACCCCTAGACCAAGGATTGCATGCTCTACCGACTAAGCCAGACAGGTGCCCCCTATTTGCTCATTTTAAAAAGAACCATAGTATATACATTCCACTACACCTTCTGAGAAGATCATTGTCTTAATCATTTTGGAGCTATAATTGAGGCATTTTTGAAATGCAAAATCAAATAGATAAGAAAAGCCATTTTGTCCAGCTGCCATCCTTGGTTACGATCTTTGGTAACCAGTGTCCAGCCGCATGGCCGGAGCCTGGGGTAGGGTCCACAGTTCTCTCTGCCCCTCTGATGACCAAAACTGGAGCTGCCCAGGGAGGTTGGGGGCCCCGGCACCAGCTTCTGCCCAGTCCTGCTTCTCCTTTCATAGAGAACATGTCTGCACAAGAGCCCCCCTGAACCACCTTGGAGCCCCTCCAAGGACAGACCTGGAGACCAGCCAGGAGGGAAAGTGCTCCTGGGAAGGACATACTTATGGGAAGCAGAGACCACGGCATGCAGGCACACACATGCAAATGCTTGCAGGATGGCCAGATTGTCCAGGGTTTGAAGGGAAACTGGAAATCGGGATTGGATGTAGAATGTCTTGAGTTTTAGAATACATCATGAGCCAGAAACCAGACCCCAACTGGGTGAGTGTCCCCACAAACTATGTCTGTGGGCCATTATTTGTGACCTCCGATTAGAGCCTGGCACACCACATGCATGACCCAAGCAGATGCGCTAACGTCCTGCACACAGCTCACCCAGACTTTGCACATTGTATGTGCTTATCCAGGTGCAGACCTTGCAAGCACGTGACGGAGACGGGTCGTCAAACATTTACATATGCATGCTATCTCCAGGATGTCATTTTAATATGGTCACTTTCCAGCTGAGGAGACTGAGAGTCGGAGATCTCCAAAGTCGTGGAGCTCGTGGGTGGCTGGACTTGCATCCCAGGCTGCCTGACAGCAAAGTCGGTGTTCTGAACGGCCGGTGATACAAACTGCCTCCCAGATGTTTGTACTCCCAACTGAAATGCCCGCTAATCTGCATCCCTTGCTAAACTCAGCTCCCTGTGCTCAGGGACTGTGTTTTCTTTGTTGTTGCATTCCCACCCCCTAGCACTGTGCCCAGTGGAACATAGAAAGTGCTCAATAAGTACTTGGGGGGTTGCCCACAGGCAAACAAACAAGTGTGCCCATAGAGGCACATATAACCCGCGTACAGTCACGTAACTCCACTGTGCCTGGGAGCACCTGAACACTCAGAGTCCCACAGAAACACCACCCACCCCCACCCCCTACCTCCCAGGGCATCCAACCCATCTGGGCCTCCCTGAGTCCCCCTGCCAGCCTTGCCCAAAGCCTTCACAAATTGTTTCCTGGAAATCTCAAGGCGGCTGTGGTGTTCTTTTTCCCTAACTCAGGAGACAACTCAGCAGTTTTGTTTTTCAAAGTCTGGGACTCATAAACCTGGAATCCTTGCTTCGTTTTTTTCCCACTAGAATTTTCCTTGGCTGGGTGCCTTTCGCCAGGGCCTTGGCCAAGAGGTTACACTCAGCATGCCCTCTGCCGGGCTCCATCCTCCCAACCCAGTGGGCAGTTGCAGAGAGCGAAAGAGGGGACCTGCCTCAGGTACAATCACTTTACAGATGGGGAAACTGAGTCAGACGGTGCTAATGGGGAGAGGTTGGGAAAGGTAGGCTCATTCTAAGTATGCGCCAATGCATACTACTATTAACTACTTTGTAGTTTGTTTTTTTTTAATTGTTGAAAATAAGAAAAGAAGAAATAGCTTCCAGAGCTCAGACATGGCAGAGAAAGGCCCTCTGCTCTCACTGGCCTCTGTGTGGGCAAGTGTCAGGGGTTTGGGAAATTCATCAGATTCGACTTTATCCTTGAATCCCTATCACATTTAATTGGCAAGGAAACCAAGACACAGAGATGTTGGGGGGAAGGAGATGGAGGAATATTCTTGGAGCATCTGCTATGTGATAGCTATGCTTACAAATTCCCTCTTGCTTACTCTTCACAGCACCATTGTTGCCGAGGTAAGTGGTTTTGTTTCCATTTTACAGATTAACACATAGAGGCTGAGGGAGGTCTCAAGATTAGGTAAGGGTAAGGGGAAAGCTGGGATTTGAATCCAAACCTGCTGTTTTCTTGGCTTTGCAGCCTCCTGGATTTTTCCCATTTGGCTTCAAAAGGCCCAGGGTGAAGACTTTGTAGGCAGGCTCATGGAGGCAAGGTTTCCATGGCCCTCCTGCTCAGAAAGGGACACCTCTCTCCTTGGCCTCTTCAAGAGGGCAGTTTGGGGCCATGGAGAGATGGGTTGAGCAGCCCCATCAAGCTTGAAGCTGAGGGCCTCAGGGCTGAAAGGAGGGTGCTGGGACTGGCAGCTGTGCCAAGTGCCCTTAACTAAGAGTAAAAACAGGATTGGATGGCTTTATAAACTGAACTCATGAGAAGTTCCAAAGGGCAAGGGTTTTCCTGGAAAAGAAAGCAAGTCCTGGAAGGTTTTTGTTTTGTTTTTCTTCTTAATGGGACCCGGGTTAATGACTCAAGGAAATGAGCACATTTCACCAAGAATTAGTCACTGCCCTTCTAAACCCATCGTCCATCTTGCTGCTCTGTTCAAAACCTTCAAAACTCATTTCCTGTAGGCAAAAATCCAAACCCCTTATCTTGTTCATTTTGGGTCTGGCTTGGCTTAATCTTTCACTTGTCTTGTTTAAACAAACTACCTAGTGGCGTCTGTACACACGTCCTTGATTCCACCACTGGACATTTAGTCATATAATTCCCTCTCTCTTTCATTTCAGCTTATGGATATCTTAGTCTTTCTTTCAGACCCAGCTCAGAGCTGCCTTCTCCGTGGATCCTTCCCTATGGTGTCCAACAGGAACTCGGCTGCCTTGTGCTAACCTTATGGATACATGTTCTAGTTCTCCTAATAGACCGAAACTCTTGAGAAACACACACACATAGACACACACGTACCCTTCATTACTGCTTAGCCGTATGGTGCTATAGAAAGAACCTTGAGGCCCTCGGTGCTGCCAATAGATTAGAGTTGAACAAAGACTGTGTTGGAGTGAGCAAATGCATGTCTCCCTTTCGCGAGTCAAGAAAGGGGAGCTCTTTACACTTGGAACTAATATCACATTGTTAATTACCCTGAGAGAGAGAGAGAGAGAGAGATGCTCCATGGAGTCTACTCAGAGAGCTTAATGTGTGCTCACCTTGAGATGGGGAGATAGGTGGCCTGGCTTCTGACAGCCACCAGAGAGTCTAAAGGATGAGAGATGGGTGCCATCTTGGGCAAACAAGACAAAGGAGAGGTGGCACTGCTCAGATCAGCCTGAATGCCTCAAGATGGTTTGTGCAAAGGATGTTGTTCCCATGGACTAGAAGTTAGCCATGCACTAGAAGAACTGATGTGAAGGCCTCTCAGGTGTGTCTAACGGGGTGGGGGCGGTGGGGGAGGCTAGCTGAAGGTATTGCTGGATTTTTAGGACTGCAGAAGGAGTGAAGAATGGGATACAAGGCAGTGCCATGCCCACATAATGGGGAGGTCCTCAGGGCTTATGGGAGGAGTGTCTGAAAAATCCATGGATGTGTCTACACAAGAGTCAGCTTTAAAGCCATCATATGATAGCATTGGTCAGGTAAGATCTCTCCTGCTCTCCTTTCTTCTGCCTCTCCTCACCTCCCCAACCCCCCACCCCTATAGCCCTGGAGAAGTCAGAAGTCACATTTAGCAAACTGGGGAGAGAAGTCTGGGGAAAATAAAGAAGCAGCTGTCCATGCCCCTATCCCCAGCTGTAGGGGTCCCACCTGCAGCAAGCCCCAGTTGGAAGAAAAGATTGAATTTTAAATCAAATTTGGAATTGTGCTTTTGTATGGGACTGAGTTATTTATGAATAGAGTTTGTTTGGTGACTGAAGTGATCACAGGACTTTTTATTTCCTGAGAGTGATCAGAAAAGTTGTAGGATGCGGGGCGCCTGGGTGGCTCAGTCATTAGGCGTCTGCCTTTGGCTCAGGTCATGATCCCAGGATCCTGGGATCGAGCCCCACATCGAGCCCTGCATTGAGCCCTACATCGGGCTCCCTACTCAGTGGGAAGCCTGCTTCTCCCTCTCCCACTCCCCCTGCTTGTGTTCCCTCTCTCTCTGTCTCTCTCTCTGTCAAACAAATAAATAAAATCTTAAAAAAAAAAAAAAAGAAAAGTTGTAGGATGCTTGAGTTCTCATTAAAGGGCAGAGAAAGGGCATCTCCCCATTGGGGGGTTGGGAAACGAAATTAAGTTGATTTATGATTATACACTGTGAGTCTTATTTACTCAATGTATTGATCCTCTTTGCTATTATAAAATGGGTTGGCTTCTTCGGTTATATTTTTCTAATTGGCTGTGTTTGCTTCTATCTTCCAAAGCAATTAAGTCCCTGTGCTCACTTTAGATAAAGTCGCTTAACAGCACTGAGATTTCAGCTGTGCTTCAGTCTTCAGATCCCTACCTTGACTGGATTTTAAGGAGACTCATGTCCACAGGTCAACGGACTCGGTTATCAGTGGTCCTTTGTTGCACATTCCTATATGAAAATCAAATTCTGATTCTGATGTTCTATTATATGTAATAGACCTTAATTTATATCTCCCCTGTACCAGGTCTTGTGCTTAAGGATACAGAGAGGAACAAGACACAGCCCCAGTCCTCAAAGTTCTCACTCACATAGGAATGAAGGGACATGGATAAGCCATCAGGACATTCAGTGTATGGTAAGTATTCCACACAAGTGTGTTCGCAGAGAATGACTTATTGGAGATTTTACCGAGCCTATCCCCTGATGCTGCCACAATGCTTGGCCTATGGTAGGCATTCTGCCCCGGGCCATGCACTTATTTTGCAAAGGCCAGCTCTTCCAGGAAGACTTCCTGGCTTAGTTCTACTTCCACCCCGATTGCTTCTTTACTCTGCCATCTCAGCACTTTGCAATTCAGCCTTGCGTTCACTTACCCTGGAGCTGTAAATATATTGAACAAACATAACCTGCAAGATGCAGTGACATGCAACTTATCCTAGGCCGTTCCAAAGAGTTGGAGCTGGGATCTGAATCAGACGGTTTGACACCTGCTTCTCACCCACAGACAGTCATTACAGAATGGCAATCACGGGGCCCTGTGTGTGTAACACTATCATAAGCATTTTTCCAGGTTCCTACCTAGTCTTTATAATGACTCCCTTCAGAGGCGTCATAATATTTCATAGAATGTGTGTAATCATTTCTACCTCTTCAGGCCATCACTTCGTATATCGTACTTAATGTATCGTCACTAGCTTATGGTGCATTGCTTTATTTACCACAAGCTTAGACTCATGTATCCGATTGCTGCTTGATAGCTCTACATGGGTATCTACAAGACTTCTCATGGAAACATAACAAGCTCTCCTCCTATTCTCTTCTAGATGGCTTCCCAGGGCTGCCAGAACAGAGTATCACACACTGGATGGCTTAAAACAACAAAAATTTATTCTCCCACAGTTCAGGAGATTAGAAGTCTGAACTCGAGGTGTCGGCAGGATTGGTGCCTTCTGAGGGCTCTGCCGGAGAACCTTTGCTCTGCCTCTCCCTAGCTTCTGATGACGAGCTGGCAGTTGCAATCTCTGTCCCGTCCTCATGTGGCTGGCGTTCCTCAAGTGTCCGTGTCTTCACGTGCTATTCTCCTCCGTGTGTGTGGGTCTCTGTCTCTGTGTCCGAATTTCTCTCTTCTCATAAGGACACCAGTCATGTTGGGAGTAAGGGCCTACCCTACTCCAGTATGACCTCATCTTACCTTGACTGATTATATCGATTAGACCCTATTTCCAAAAAAGGTCACATTCTGCAGTGCCAGGGGTTAGGATTTCAACTTATCTTTTTCAGGGGGACACAGTTCAACCCATAACATCTTCCCTTCTCATTTCCTAAATTTTTATCTTCTCCGGTCTTCCCTAACTGTATAATTGGCAGCTGTAGTAGCTCAAGTCAAGAATCCGTGAATAATCCTTGATTTCTCTGCCTTCATTACCCCCATCCCAGTTCCTTCAACAAACCCATTTAGCCATGCCTCTAAAAATATCCTGAATCTAGCATTTCTCTTCATCTCCATTTCTACCACTCTAGTTCAAGCTACTATCACTTTTCACCAAAATAGCTGCAATAGCTCTAACTGGTCCCCCTGCCCCTTTCTCATCTATAATCTGGTTGCATGCCCTTGCTTAGTACTAACTATTGAATTAAGTTCAAACATCTCACCCGTGCTTACAAAATACTAGTGATCTGGCCCCTCCCCCACCTCTGAATTCATTTCGGATCACTTGCTTTCTTTGATCAGCCTTCTTCAAGCTCCCTGGACCACCAGCCTCCTGTTCTGGAACCTTATACGGCTGCTCCTTCTCATCATGAGAATCTCAGCTTTAGAGGTCATCTCATTTACTGACATTTAAGAGATCTTCCCTGACCCCGTAATCAAGAGCAGCCACCCAGTTATTCTCCACCACAGACCCTTATTTTAATTCTCTGCAGATAATTTTGTAAATAGATTATTTTTCCTCATTTATGTAGGTATTTGTTGTCTTTTCCCACAGCTCTAATTCCCAGGAGAGCGGGGACCTTGTTTATCTTGGTTACACCATCTGAAACTGTGTCTGGCACACAGGAGGAACTCAATAAATATTTATTAAATGAATAATTAATCCTGCACAGACGATCTTTGTGTAGGAACCTTCCCCCCTACTTTTGGAAATTTATTATAAATAATCCAACAGGAGGAGGATTACTGGATCAAGGGATAGACACATATTTTGGCTCTTGAAATGTATTGTCAAAGTGGTTTGCAAAGACGTGAGGTCAGTTTTCATTTGTTGGGCAACTTCTTGACTCCCAAGCGCCAAGGTAGTGATGTCTGGTGTGTGGGGGAGGGAGGGAGGGCGGGTTAGAGCTGCTGCCCCCGGTGGGCTGAGGCAGCAGCAGCAGGGACCAGCCATCAGCAGGCCCCTCATTCTGGTGCCTGTCAGGAGGGTCCACAGCCTGGCCTCGCAGGCCTGCCTGGGGCAGCACACACAGGGGGAATCATCTGCTGCATGAACTTGGGTGTAGCTGTGGGAGCTAGGGTGAGCCGAAGGGCTGGCAAGTACACCTGCTCTTCTGCACAGTGAGGCCTAATTCTGGAGGCCAGGTTGGGAAGCAAAGAGGGTGTGGAGGCCGAGGACACAAAGTGGGGCTTGGACCAGGTATTGGAGGCCCTGGTCTCCAATACCAGGTTATTTCTGGATTGGAGCTTTTCTGCTTAGCACAGGGAGTCTGGGACTTTAGGTGTTTGAGATATCTATGCATAAACCTCCAGGAACAGAGAGACCTGTTTTATGCAGTTCTGCACACAGCTAGGCCCATTCAGCAGTGCCCTGCCCCATCTCCTAGAATTGCTATAAGAGCTAAAACAGTAGATATGTTGTAAGGGGCTCAGAATAGTGCCTGGAACATAATAGGCATCATCCAAGTGTTGGCCATTCTTAGTCCTAGCCTGCATTCCTCATGGGACTGTAAGCTTCCTGATGGCAGAAACTATATCTGAGGCAGAACAGTCTACTGCTAATAAGTCAGGCTGCCTGAGTTCTAAATCCCGGCTCCAGCAAGCTCAATGATCTTGGGCAAATTACTTAACCTCTCTGTTCCTTAGTTTACTCCTCTGTAAAATGGAAATAGTACCAGCCTCACTGGGTTGTTAGTGGACTCAGTGAGTTGATGAGTGTAAAAAATACAGAACAGTGCCTAACATATAGACAGCACTTAGTGGGTGAATGGATTTAATAAACGCCTGGATCTGCCCTGAGCATATTCTGCAAGGGCAGCCTACTTTACCTTCAGTGATCTCCTACCTTCTCTTTTTTTCTTAAGACCTCTTTCTCATGGCTTCCCTGTGTTTCTCTTGCTCCCAGAATCCTTCAGGCTTTCCTGCCACCCATTCCTGAAAGGCCTGTGCACAACTGCTCTTAACTGAAGTCTTGGTTATTAAGGCGTTACTTCCGTTCATGCAAAAATCCTGACTTTGTAGGACACTCTCGAACCTTGTTATGTCTGAGAACCTGCACCGTAGGCATCACCTGGGAGATGAGGAATCTCAGGCAACTTCAGACCTAAAGAATCAGAATCTGCCCTCCCACAAGCTCCAAAACAATACTTCTTAAACTTTGATGTGCCTATGCTTTTCCTGGAGATCTTTTTAAAATGTAGATTTCTAGGCTCCACTCAGAGTTTCTGTTCAGTAGGTCTGAGGTGAGGCCTGAGAATTTGCATTTCTAACGGTGATGGGGATGCTGCTGGTCAGGGGATGGCACTTGGTGAAGCATTGCCCTAAGACTGACAGCCTCCAGAATCAAAGGAAGGAGGCCTCATAGGAAGATGGGAAAATCTGAGGCACTGGGGGAGATCACTTTTTAAGATAGTGGACCCCTTGCCAGTCTTTTAAAAGCGTATCGGGCAGTCTCTGCCTGTGGTATCTTAGCACAAAAATGCTTTTGGTTATTAATGATATTTTCCATATTTGTCCAAAATTCTACAGCTTAAAAGTTCTTTCATGTGTTTGATCTTATTTCATCCTGCAACAACCCTGTAAATTGAGCTGGGAGAATCTCACTTCATTTCCAAAACAGAGAACTGAGGCACAGAGAGCTCTGAGAGGTAGAAATCCCACAGCCAGGGGTGCCTGGGTGGCTCAGTCTTTAAAGCGTCTGCCTTCGGCTCAGGTCATGATTCCAGGGTCCTGGGATCGAGCCCCACATCGGGCTCCCTGCTCAGCGGGAAGCCTGCTTCTCCCTCTCCCACTCCCCCTGCTTGGGTTCCCTCTTTTGCTGTCTCTCTGTCAAATAAATAAATAAAATCTTTAAAAAAAAAAAGAAAGAAATCCCACAGCCAGCTGGCTGCCGTTGGCCCCCACAGACTGTGCCCCCTGGGCTGGCACTTGGGTACTATTTTTAATCCTTGCCACCCTCCAAGGCTGATAATGCTACTCTGTCTTCATAGAGGGGCAAACTGAGAGACTTGCTGAGGTTCAAGAACATTCCCAAGGTCACAAGCAATGGCAGTTCTTACTTCTTCACCATATCACTTCCCCGTAGTAACAAGTCCTGTCTCTGTCTCTTACACACACACACACACACACACACACACACACACACACACAGCAACCAAACCAAAGGGCTATTTTTCATTTCCACACTCAGCATTTAATTAATGAGCAGGCCACATGCTGGCCTTTTGCCTTTAGCAGTGAAGGAGATGGCAGGAGGAGGGTTGGATGCTGACCAACCCTGCCCCAAGGCCCCAGCAGACCCAGGAACCCTCCTTTCTACTTTCTCCTCCTACTCTGGGCATATCTCCTTTCTCCTTCTCTGTTCTCAGAGAATTCGAGTTCAGTCCTGGCTCTAATTTCTGAAAGATTCTCTGTTTGGAAAAAAAATTTATGAAGCTAAGTAATTCTTTCCTCAGTCCTGATTTCTCTTGCCTTAGTCAGCTTCAGCCACCACCCCCTTTCCATCTACCCTCCAAAACACCAACACAAAACACAGACAGACACACCCAACCACCCAAGCTTCAGCCAAACAGAAAACCCTCTTTCTAGGATAGTTCTGACTTCTTGTATCTCATCTGTTGAAAATGTTAGCCTTGGACCC